AGTTTTGGAAACCCGTAGAGGGTTGTTATGGGTCAGAGTCAACTTGATGGCAATGGGTTTTGGGTAGTAGATGAAATGTCTAGAATCGATAGTTTCACAGGGACCAACATTAGGTTAAACTTCCAGGGCACCAGAAAGGTGGAGAGTGACTGTTAATGGGGTGTGTGGGGTTCCTTTGGGCTGATGAAAACAAGATTAGAGCGTGGTGATATTTGCACAGCTTTGTGAATATACTGAAAATGATTTGTGTTATTCCCATTTTATAGTATGTGAAGAATGATGACTCATTAAAAACACAGTAATACATTAATAGCCAATCTATATATCTGTGCTACTATGTTCAACTGGTGTTAATGACTTGCATTTTAATAGAAACGGTAGGGTAAGTCAAGGGGGTGGGTCTTCTGAGAATGGTTTTGGACCGTGGTGGGGAGGCTGGAGGGTGAGTGTGTGGATTCCCTACCGGCCCTTCACATCTCGCTTCTCAGAGATGTACCCCCTGTCTCTGGGTAACAGCTCTGCATGGATTGTGGGGAGTCTCCCAGGGCAGTGGCCCTTTCAGGGTACATAATAAATATGTATCTCTACATCTATCTATATATATGGATCATCTATCAAGGCATAAGCACCGATAACCAAGTAAGGCAATTACATTGAAATGCAGTCATCCAAATAGAAAAAGCATGTGATAGATGCAGTTATTATAATAACTCATGAGTGGGGCCTCCTCAGCCCACCATAGGACAACCCTGTAGGCTCACCCCAGCTACCTCCACTCTTCATGCGTCAACCCCAAGAGTACTCCCCAGGAACAGTCTTCCACTCAAATCTCCACCTCACCGATGTTCTCATGTTCTGCCACTGGGACTATTGTTCAACACCCTGATGCACCGTGGAAGGGTTCGTGAGAGGGCCCATTGGAAGTCAGTGAAAATGGAGACCCTTTTCCCTGTCCAAGTTCATATCCCTAACAATTCTACCTGTAACCCCCTTGGCTAGTAGTCCTTTCTCTAGATCTATTCTGTCTAGGATAGATGTCCCTGTACGGGATATCACTGTTGAGTGGTTGAAATGTAGTTAGTAAGAAAAAGAGTATGTCAAGAGTATTTTATATTGGTTACATGTTAAAACAGGAGCACGTGTAAGCCTAAATGAAGTATGTTATTAAAATTGATTTTGTGTGCTTTCTGCTCATTTTAATGTGGAAACTCAAAATTATTGGGGTCGGGACTTTTCTGCCTCCTTGTTGCGTCTCACTTAGCCATTGTTTTTGACAACATCAATGAACATGGTGGTATAAGAAAGCCCAGAGCTCTTTGGTCCACAAAGCAGCAAGACTATTGGCAAAAACTGAGCCTGAGGTGGTGGGTAACCATTTACACGAACAATAGACTCTCATCAACAAGCTAAAAAGAAAAAGGTGAGATGCGATGCACCCAAGCGGTGCTTAGAGAAAAATTGAGAAGCACGTTCCCAAGTCAGTAACTTGACCTTCCATTTTAAGAAACTAGAAAGAGATGAGTTTGCTAAACAAGCACCCACAAAGCAGAACACAATGTGGCACCATCAGGTAGCTACTGCCGCATCGGGACCCCTGGCATTACACAGCAGAACCACTCTCCAGGGGTTTCTGGTCATCGTGATGGGGGCAGGTGTGAAGGCCTTTCTTCAGGGGGACTGCTTAGTGGGTTTGGGCCTTCAGGCTAGTGGTTGAGTGTGTTCTCTGTCTGCCAACCTTGCATTTCAAGCAG